ACTTTATTCGTATAAGTAGACCTATAATATGGACAATAAAATGGGAATCTCCACATATTTCACCCATTAAATAGTCATGGCTTTGATGTTCATACTTGAAACACTTCAAACATTTTTGTGTCACACCTTCTTGATGACATCACCGACATAATTGGACTATTTCTGAGTAATGCACTATAAGACTAATGTGGTTAATACAAAGAAAGTTTTCATATCAATTTTCAATTTCCCATGTTTTATTTGGATCATCTGGGCAGTTTGCATGTTCTTTGTAAACTACACGACAATATCGTGGAAGAATTAACAAAATAATTTTAAATTTGGAGTTCAAATAGAGCAAACGTTCTTGCCGTCCATTTCAGATTTATTCCAATTTGACGAATTTCTATCAATTCATCAGAGTTTCAGAGCTTTCCACGTCCGAGAAACTTCTGTACGTTAGACATGGTTGCAACATAAGTTTCCAATATGAAAGTGCTTAAAACAAACTATTGAACTTTCCTCCAGTTCATTTTTTTAGGAAAATAATAGCTTCATTTGGATGTTATGTTGGACTAGCAATGAAATGGATTGACCTGGGTCAGGTCATAATTTCATTATTAACTGCCGACATAGTACCCTAATGACAACCAAAAAACTAAAACAGCTTTCCTAACATTACAACTCATGAAAACTGGGAAATAGCAAAACCAATCTGCCTAGGCCAGTGAAAGGCTAAAGAAAACTCGAAGGCACACGCTACAATAAACCACAAAACTGATAATATAAAAAATGAGTTAATAAGTATTCTTACAACACAAAACGAATCTGTAAAGTGTAGTATTTAATCGGCATCTCACTATTTGTATAAATTATGGCTATAAGAAGAGAGTACGTAGTGTGTCGATAATCGCATAACAAGAGGCGAGGAGTGATGTAGAGGGTCCACTACGCTACTTGTTAAAACCAGCTGGTGAGGAACAGTAGGAACATGAAGTAAAGTGGTAGTGATTAGCGCTAATTCGAGAGTGGTGGTAGAGAAAGATCTAATTTTTTTCATTCATTCCAGCCCTGGGAGCCGTCAAGCCATTATAGGGCCATGGCTTCTCTTTGCTCAACAGAAAGTTGAAAACTGGAGCATTAAGAAAACATCTTTGAACATACCAGATGCAAAGGTCTTGGAGATGAATGAGAATCAGAAGGAAGGTAATGCATTCGCATAATTATTTTGCAGAGATGAAAGCGAGTTTAAGAGCATAGTATTTTAGAATTTGTAGTCAAAGATAAAAGGGAGCAAAAAGCCAGGAAGTGTGACTATAAGTGAAACAGAGTAGAATGAAGGTCTTGTAAGTATATAATATAAGAGATGGATTTAATACACAGAATGCGCTTTTCAGCTAACTGAGAAGATGAAGATGGCAGGTGACTTTTTGTTGAGAGCTATCATCTTAGCCTTCCAGGTAAGGTGGTTTATCAACAAGGAAGACTGAGATATTTGACAGTATCTCACAACTAGATAGGGCCATCTTCAATATGGACATTAATAAAGAGGAATTTATTGTAGCAAGGACGGTATTTATAACGTATAAAACTCAATAATATAGACTTGGTCTTGGAAGGATTAATATAAAGATATCAGTTACATTTCCAAGTCAAAACGACGTTGATAGCAGATTGTAAAACTACTTAGGTGATGGTTGTGGGGCAGGTAGCTACAATAGTTGTATCATCAGCAACGTATAAGATACAAAGGAGAGGAGACAACATTGATACCTTAAGCACACCACATATACCACAGTAATGTAATGCTACCTAGCTTTTACATGTTTAACTATATTGAAAGAAGGAAATGAAGAATGTTTAAGATGCAAATTTGTTCCTTTTGGTAAAATAAAATGTTAATGTTATTATAAGCTAATTAAACTAATACGTCCAGTTTTATTTCAGAAAAAAAAATGTTTTGAATAACTAATTTTTAAAGGACATTGTGCAGAAAATGTTTTTCCTCACTATCGTTAGAAGAAAAACAAATTTATATGTTTTTTACAACGCCCATTCACCAATTTAGAATTATAAATTGTATATGTTTAAGACATAAGTTTGTTTTGTTTTTGAATTTCGCGCAAAGCTACACG